CACCCTCCAATTTTCCTTTCCATCATTTTTTACCTTGATATCAAACAATAGAAGTTTTTTCATTTACCCTATTTTTTTTTTCTATTTTCCATCCGCCCCTTTTCCTTCAAACTAAATCACAATAGATAATGGCCAAATCACAATAGATAAACTTTCCGATGTCTTATAACCCAACCTCAAAACCCTAGAATCATGTGGTTTTGTAATTGCGTGTTCGCGATCATGGAACCTTACTGTTTCTTTTATTTATTTATTATTTTGTCACATCAGATAAATTCACCAACCTAGTGGAACTTGGTTCATGGTCCTTGCTTGGAACCCACATCCGTCCAATCATACTTTTTTTAGTTGGGTATAGAGGCGTGAACCAGTGGCTTGAACGTGGACCTAGTAAGACCATTAGCGACCATAGGTGGTTCTTATCTAGTGGGAAAAAAAAGTGTGCAGCACGGGGAGTTTTTTTTTTTGGTACAGTGGTTATGAATATTTGAATTATCTTACGAATATTTTGATTAATTTTTTTTTAATTTGATTAAAATAAGATCATTTATACCAAGATTAGAGAATTCATAAGGAATAATTCTCTCTCATAACCTGACTCAAGAGAATTGTCAAATTTCGAATTTAAGACATCTGTGATTACAACTTATTCTTGTATCCACAAATTTACTTACGCTTTGGGGGTGGAAATTTTGTTTCCTCTCATGAACTATTTGCGTCAATGAATTAAGTAGATTCAAAATTCAACAAAGAGTGGGTTGATAAGAAAGCATTTCTTCATTTTGTCCACTACTTTTGTGGTGAATTGTACCACCAAGTTTTCCAATTATAGCTAGTGAGGAAATTGTGGTTTTTTTTCTTCAAGAACTACTAAAAAGATTTCAAATAGTATATTTTTATTAATAATTAAAAATAAATATTAGTATCAATATAGTATCTCAATTTAATCTACCATAGACTAGTTGGACAGCTGTGTACACATGGGTACATTAGTATTATAGGAATTGACAACATTGACAGAAAAAAGAAGGGGTAGGAATACACTTTTTTAGGTATAGCTATACTAAAGTAGTCGGTTTCAAATAATATCAAATGTTTGGAATGAGTTCTTTGGCAATTGATAAATCTATGGTATCTAGATTTAGTTTTACAATATAATACCAAAAAAATAAATTTTAATCGCAAATTTTGTTTTTATTTATTTATAACCATTGGTTGCAGAGAAAATAAAATGACATGTACAAAAAAAAAATATAAAACTTTGCACTTGCTAATTTGTGAACACCCAAAAAAAAAGAAGAGAATAATCCCGAAAAATTATTTCTCGGTAATATTGTCTAACCCGTTATCAATATGTCTACCAAGTATTTTCAAGTCTGTTTTGTAAATGAGATGAATTCAAGCAATGTGCGACTCGACGCAAAATATTTTTAATTTTCTTGCTAGAAAAACTCTACCCAAAAATTAAATAACTCAAAAACTTATTTGTAACTTACATATATCGATTTTATGCCTGACTTTATAAATTTAATTTAGTATTAAGTTCCATATTGTATATTTTAAAATTTTTTACCGATGAATTAAACTCAATTTCATTCCAAAAACATGCAAACTTTTTGTCAAGCCGAGTTTTTGTATGAATCGAAGCTTAGTCACTCACAATCAAGCCGAGCCTGCATACGCTCAACCTTGACAAGCTCAGCCCGATTATGATTGGTAACCCCCACAACCAAAGGGCACCAAAAACCAAAAGAAAACAAAAATAACACTAGAGCTAAAGAATGGAAGAAAATCAACATCAAATAAACTATTCTGAAATTAAAATAATTCGCAGGGATAACAACGTAAAATGAGCAATGCTAGGAATCTCAAATCCACCTTAGATTGGTGAGCCTTTTTGAACAAAAGTTAGTGTGATCTACTCGTCCAAGTCAATACTCGTTTCAAATTAAATCCAGTTTAGAATACATAGGATTTTCCATCAAAATTAAAGCACGGCAAGCTTTTGATTGCTTTGGAGTTGAGATGTTCAAACAATAATATATTTGAGTTATAAATTCAGATGTTTTGAGTTTAAATCTTGATAATTTTTTGGGGTTAGACTATTAGAAATTTATCCCTTATGAATACCCTAGTCTCGGTGTAAATGATTTACCTTTAATTGAACTGAAGAGAGAATTAGTCGAGATATGCATAAATTGACTTGAACACCCCTTCACCGTTAAACTAAAAAGAAAAGAAAAGAAAAGAATATAGTGTGTATAAATAGAGCCACCCAGATAAAGCTAAAGGCATATTCCAAGAGTTGCTGTGGTTTATGTTGAGAACTACAAAACCCACAGATATATTACATCTTTCTTCTTCAACACATCCTGGCAAAGTATCTCTACATCCTTCTTTGTTTGTAATCGTGAAAGGAGGAAATAGAGTTCACCTTCAAAACTGTACGTGCATTAATGGCTGCTCGAGTCGCCTTCTTCATCGTTCCAATGGCACTTCTGCTCATGAATATCCATGCCACAACTACAAATCGTATGCTCTCTCTCTCTCTCTCAAGTTGGGTTGTTGATCATCATTTGTTTCAAAAACTTAAGCTGGTCCAGAGATGTAACATTAGTAGTTATCTAATACAGTCAGTATAATTTTTTGATATATATGATATATCCATTTGATTTGCATTCAGCTCTATATGTAGAAGATGATTTGAAAAAAACCTCTTACTATATCATTATTAGTAATAAATACACCCGAATATATATAGGCTTGCCTCGTAAACTTCTAAGAAATTCAAAGGATTGTGTCCTATACATCTTCCCTCAAACTAAATTCATAGTTCCATCCTGATTGAAGCCGAGATGAACACTTGTTATCACCTTCTTATAAAACATTTTGTATACTCCTGTTAACGTAATGACTACTAGAGATGTTACTGCTTGTTACTATTGAATTTTGATTAAAAAAGGGAGAGTATAGTGCTTTAATGTTCTCTGACTTTATTTGTAGCTTCTTTCTATTAACAGTTAATTTATAGTTATTTTTCGAGGTAAAAGTTGTTACTATTTCATGACTCTCTTCACACCCAACTATTATTAACTGCACTTAACCACCTATAACTCTTATAACTACTTAGATTTAAGTTGGTATACATTCATTGTAATAGTAGTTTTGTTGCCAATGTCCTCTCACTTTATTGTATATGTAGTGTTCAAAAATGTATAATTCTACCCTGTTTGGTGTATTGCCCCCATGATTCCTTCTATTTTCTCCTGGTCTCCTCAAACAAGCAGAACAGATGTTTTATTTTTGCATGGATTGCATGAGAAAAATATGAAATACCCTTTTTTTTTTAATAAGTTAGTGTCTTGTAATTCAATAAAATATGATTAAATAAAATGGTACAATGCACTAACCAAAAAATGTTTTCTATTTTTTTCAAATAATTAATTTATCAACAAATGAATTATAATTTTTGTCACAGACTCTCACATTGTGTCTCGTAGAAAATCGGACAAACATAGGTGACTCCCCTGGTACGCGGGGGGGCTAGGAAGGCATTCGTTCCAGGTCCAGAGAACACCCAAGCAGTCATTTTGATGTATCATTAACACTAATTGTATGGTTCACATAATAATTTAGTGTCGAATCTTAGTATAAAAAATAGATTTTTTTGTATCACTTGTTTTTTAATCATATTTTGCCCCTACAAAGTCAGAATTCTGATTCTGCCCCTATTTGTTGCAACTAAGAAAATTGTTGCATCTTGCAACTAATAAATTTTTGAGGTTTCAGAGTTTTTCCTTAGTGTTCCAAGGTTCTAGTTTGCGTGCAAACGTAATACTCAACACCTATTTCATTCATTTCACATACAATTTTCCATTGTCCGTAAAAGTTGAGTTTTAGTGTGATGTTGTTTTCAAGTTTTTGCACAAATAACATGAATTTTTGTTATTTATTTTTTCTTTTTACAAAAACACACAAAAGAAGTTAAAGATTTTAATTAGGTACGTCGCAATCTTCTCCCCCCCCCCCCCCCTCCCAAGAAAACACTATGTCGCCATCACGTTGTTCTTTGTTGTACTAATTATAGAGGCTTTATCCATTAGTCATCTAATTATAGCACAATAAAAGACCTAGAGATTCGAAAATAAATAAATAATTATAAGGCTTTTTATTATTATTATTCACATGATATCATTATAAACGTAAATTATGAGTTAGTGCATTATTGATGATATAGAGTCATGTTTATACATTGATTTTATAACACATTTCCTTCTTTTTCTGTTGGTCTTCAAATTAGTCCAAGTCGGTATTTGCTTCTATAAAATCCACTCGTCCATGTGAATAATATCCCCACTTTTGGTTAGTAAATGTTTAATGTCATGCTATTATGCATTTCAATACACTAAGTGATTATCCTTTATACTAAAAAAAAAAAAAGGGTTTTAAAAACCTACAAGGACATATAGAATTTTTGAAAACCTAAAAGGGGAATAGAGTAATTTTGAAAATATGAGGGGGCCATGTTCACCTTGTCCCCTTGTCTCCATGTAGTTCCGTCGGTGCTAATATTCATATAAATTGCTTTTGCAAAAAATGGTCACAATATATATATATATTAATTTTTTTAATTAAATATAATTATTTAAAAAAGCGTTTTCAAACGGTGCATAACTAATTATTTTTCTTGTATAATTTTTTTTTTCACCCAGGGCCTGGTGAAGCTTTTCAGTTCAGTTACTCGGGCGCTACGGGTCCTAACAAATGGGGAAACTTGAATCCGAAGTTCACAGAATGCTCACATGGAAAACTGCAGTCTCCCATAGACATTGTGAAGAAGAAGGCTGTTCTTAATAAGAAGCTAAAGCCTTTAACCAGAAGATACTATCCTGCAAATGTTACTTTGGTTGACAATGGCTTCAATGTTCAGGTTTGTTCTTGCTCTTTCCTAATATCTTTTACTTTATTTTTTAATTAAGTTTGAAATAAATTGATTCAAGAGAGATCACGAAGACAAAATAGCACAAAAGTAATTAACGTAGTTCAGATCAAAAACCTATGTTTGCAACACACAAAATCGTAAAAGACTACTGTCATGTTTGGTTTACATTTTAAAAACTGTTTTTTATTTTTAAAATTAATTTTTGAAAGAAAAATTGTTTGACCAGTTATGTTTGGTTTTTGTTTTTTAAAAACTGAGAATAAAAATTCGACAATTTAGAGAATAAGTTAGAACTATTTTGTGTGTTTTTTAAAATGACATTTTCAAAGTTTAGAACGCCACCGTCATACTTTCACCACCACCACCACACTTACATCACCACCATCACCATCACCATCACCACCACACTCCCACCACTCTTCCACCAACATCACCACCACTGCCACACTTCCACCACCACCACATTTATGTTTTTATTATTTTTTGAGTTACTGTCTAAACAAGTTTTAATATTTTCTATTCCATAAAACTATTTTTGGAATCATATAACCAAACAAATTTTACGACATAAAAATCAATAAAAATATTTTTTTAAAATTTTTCGCAAAAACAGTTTTCAGATACTCACTTTATTGTCTACCTACATGAATCTCTCACACACACACACACACACACAAATCTATCTAACATTATAGTTACAGTTAATAAGTTGAATTCTCAACTTATATAAGTAAAACAAATATTAAGATTAGTTCAATCTTCATATATTTCAATCTAATGATATAAAATTCACCCCCAAAAAATTTTTTCCGCTCAAAAATATCAACTTCTTTATATGACCCTCAATGTTAGACAATTNAAATTTTTTTCCGCTCAAAAATATCAACTTCTTTATATGACCCTCAATGTTAGACAATTCAATCAATACACTCTCTAATATCAAACAATCCTTTCAATTCATACCTATCTGTTTTCATTTTAATTTTAATTTGCATAATTCAAAAAATAAGATTACTATTTAAAATATAAATATTATAAGATCAATTCAAATTTGATATTTTATAATATTTTTAGACACGATGTTATTGTTATACATATATATAGGGTGATAAAGCATTCTATAAAGGAAAAGATCAATGAAGGGTAAATTACACTCTGACCTCCTAAACTATGGATAATATCATATTGTCAACTATTTAATTCACTTCCTATTTCTCTAATTGAAAATGTCTGTTATCTTTTTGGATACAAATTATCAATGTGTTGGAGACTGGAGTAAAGTGAAAAAATTTATATAATTCGAGGGTAAAATGAAACAATTTTTCATTAAATATCTAACAGAGGTAAATAACTATAACGATGTAAAACTAATCAGTTGGGGGTAAAAAAATATGATATTTGATGAGACAATGTGACAA